CTAAGCAGCGCCCTCGCGGCTTCTTATTGGAATCACTTCCGCGTCTTGCAGTTCCTTGTAGTTCTAAAGATTGCCGATAGATGGTATTGACTTACATTTTGAGAAACATTAAAATAAAATAACGAAAACCTTTGACTAGACTAGAACTTCTTACTAGAAATTAAAGTCAAATGTTATTTTATATTTACAATTATGATATATAATTTTTTATCACCTTACGTCGAAACATTAAAACAAAGTAATTTTAAAACACCATCACGATAAATTTAGTTTATGTTCCCCCGGGTCGTATGTTAAAGGACTATACGAAATTCTCAAACGGTTAAGCGTAACATGTTCTGCAAACTTACATCCTTGTAAGAGATTAAGTGTTTGAGGAAACTTAGCAGACCCTTACGGTCCACAAACAGTCAGTGGATTAACTCGTAAATTATGTATGGCGTAATTCATTGTCCTAACATATTAAACGACTTATTAAAATAAAAATGTCCACCACAATGGCGTTGTTTGCATTTTCTTCGTTTCAGCGCCATCTCTTGACATCCTTGCGTACTTCTTAATCCTGCAGCCTTGAAAATGGTTTAGTAAACGGCCGCGATGGCGCTGCATGTAGCTCCTTGTATTGGGAATGCTGGCTTATCGATGCTTTGAATTGGATGGAAGACGACTTGAATGTTATTGACATTTTTAAGAAATAACGCACTTTTGCTGTTTTCATAGTTTTAAGATAGAATAGTTACAAGTCGTTTTTAAGGTAGAATAGTTACAATTAACTTTCCTATTATTAGACAACTTATTTAATTGATACTGTCGCTTTTAACTCAGAGCAATGCTTCTCGTCAAGACTCAAGTTACGCGCCAATCTATCCATACTTCTAGTGACATTGACAGCTGTCAGCTAGGGACGTGCCGTTTATGCCGATAATCTAGAGTTGCGCCAATTCTATAGCACGGTACTAATTTTATTTCTAACACTATGTATCCAAGTTTAGTGTCTATTTGAAACCTTAATAACAATCTGACAATTGTAATTACTACTAAAGTTCTGAATTACTAATCTAAAGTCGCACTAAAGATAACTTAAAACATTTTTTTAACTAATTATTTTACGGCTGTTACTCACGTCTTCTTTTTTCGGTGACGGTACCGACCTACCGTAATAGCCGTAAAATAATTAGTTATAAAATATCTCACAAATGTTTAAACATTTTATATTTTTTTAGCTAAAAAATATTGAATTTTATAGTGGCAGAATTACCAACATCTTTCAGACAGAAGGGTTGTTAGCTACCCCTTTCTTCACTCAAATATCCATAAATACGGTTTTATATAATGCTAATACTCACACTTCGCACGCATACACGCGGTTTAGCCCTAACTTAAACTTACACCCTTGTAAGATTAAGGGTTGTATCGAAACTTGAACAACCCCAAAGGCCAGAGTTACGATTTGATTTGGCCCGCTGTATTGTGTTGCGAATTTATAACAACCAATACAAACTTGGGGTAGTTCGATTTTATATAACGATATCCAATTTACGTGAAATATGATGCGATACCTTTTACCCGGGCTGCTTGAAAAGAAATATTATTTTTCACTTATGCCCGGTTTCTGAAACACTTGTAAACTCTTATTCACAAAGTAGTAGTGTTAGATGAAAAATATTTAGCTAAAGATTAATCCAAAAGATATTTCCGATTTCGGAATTAAGCAGTTCAGTCAATTATTTAATCAACTCGTGTTATGCGTTAACTCACTTGTTTCTTTAGATCACACGCACACCTGAAACTAAACTATCGCACAACTGTATAGTCTCACTTTCATTCCTATGAGCTTATATGAAGATGCGCACACTATTCAGTTTTTAATTGTGCAACTAAACAATTGAATTGTCTGCGAAACAATCGACAATCGCACAAAAAGGTGTGCGCCCGCTCTTAGAGTATCTATACTGACATTAATAAGGAGAGATTAGTAATTGCACGTAATGAAATAAATTCAAAAAATAATAGGCCCGCTTTTAAATATTTGACAATTACATTGACATTACCTGATGTAAAATTCTCTCTGGTTCATTGAGGTTGCATTGCAGACTCACAATGATCTCAGTTTTATCAAAGAAAGCATTTACATATCTTACTAATATTATGCGAAAATTTAGATGGATTGATGTCTGTTAGAGTTTGCAACCTAAACTGTTAAACGAATCTCAATTAAATTTGGCATATATGTGGAGGATAGTTTGGAAGAATACATAGGCTACATAATATTATTTTTTTAATACCACGCGAATGGAGTCCCGGGCGAAAACTAGTAAAAAAATATTTAATTATACTTACATATATCCCTTTTGTTACAGATTTAATTAGAGAAGCGTTGCAGAAAGTACACAAAGATGGCAGCGTTCGTCGCGAAGCAGATGGTCGGCAACAAGCTCAGCGCCGTTAAAGGTAACATATCTTTTTTCTTTTTTTTCGAAAATAGAACTCATTTTGTTAATTTTTCAATTAGTCATTAAGATCAATAACCAACTAAAAAACTGGCAATATTTTACAAACCATTAAAAAAATCACTAATATAATAAATGTTTCAACAGTTACGCTAATACGCTTAAAAGTATTTCAAAATTAAAAATGTAATACTAAAAATAAACAATAAAAAATGTTCACCGATCATTCAAAGATAATTGATAAAAATAAGCCGCTTAGAGAAGTGGAGCGGTCTAGAGAAGCGAATCCTCGGGAATTAACTCGTCCCGGGGGAAATCAGCCGCTAAACGTCCACCAAGCTTATTTATTGTACATCTCACTCAGATTACCACTTAATGAGATGCTCGCTAACCATGCCTTCAACCGCCAGATCTTAATGCTCTCTGATAAAACATTATTACAATGTTTATTGTAAGGCTTTTAAAGAAACAAGATATTCTGTAGGTTGTTGTATTTATTCTTACTTCCTACTAATATTATAAATGCGAAATTTAAGTGTTTCTTAGAGTTGTCGCCTAAACGACTGAATGGGTCTAGATGAAATTTGGCATAGATGTAGAGAATCTTCTGGATTTACATAGGCCTACTTACTTTCGTTTTTAATTCCACGCGATAAGAGTCGCGGGCGAAAGCTAGTCTAAGATATTTACTACTTAAAAACTTCAAACACTTTGCTGCATTATTGTTTTCTTAATTGACTCCAAACTACCTAAGATAAAATATTTTTTTTTTCTTTAAACTATGTGTCTTGTCCAAAAATAATCCTGAAAATCTTGCTTATCTGCAACTTTAAGTTACTGTTTTTTTTATTTATAGCATATTTCCTTAAGAAAAATATCTTTAATACGCTTACGTTTTGAGAACGTTCAGTTCACAATATTGCGAAGTCTGTGATCTCCAGACATTGGCCAAATAACGAAAGATCACGCACAGACCCGGCACAGACATCGGTACAGGTGTTTTAAATGATGTTACACATTTATAGCTTTCTTACTATACATGGAATCTTATACTTTCTAAGAGAATAAAATAAAGAATAAAGGTATGTTCAATTTTTATTTATCATTAAAAATAAATGAAACATACAAATTATCATAATTTATTTAAACATCTCCGCATTCGTATCCTAACCTTATCCTACGTAACATAAATTTCTTTCTACATTGCATCACATATTAAAGCCTACACTTGTTATAATTCTTTACAAGTCATTAAAATCGTTTATATAACATAAATACTCGATACATAATTCATTTAAAAGGAAGACATTAATCTTAAATTACTGGAAGACAATCTTATTAAATAAGGTATATAAAAATACTTACTACAATAATGTAAATATCAAAGTTAGTCTCCGCAGTCCATTGAATACTCTTTGTTATGAAATAGACTGATTAACACTCGCTTTCTCATTCCCTCTTGTACTTCTGGACTATAGCTGTCTCCTTCAAACTCCTTAACATATACTCTTTTTATCTTCTCATCTGAATCTGGTATTAGCTTTCTCTTTCTAACTCTCTTACTCCTATCCACTTCATCTCTAGAGACCAGTCGCTTCGGACTGAACTCCTGCGCTGGAGAATGGAACAGTTTCTTGATTACTGGTTGAAGAGTGGTAGGTTTTCTGATTGGTGATTCCGAGTCCATCTGGGAAAGAATTAAACTATGTAAGGGATAAGAAAGAACATATTAAGCTAACCTATATCTGTACTAATATTATAAAGAGAAAAGATTTGTATTTTTGTATATATTGAAATAAAACAAAAACTACTGGGCCGATTTCAAAAATTCTTACACCATTAAAAAGCTATGTTATCACTCAGTAACAGGCTATATTTTTAATTTCACGCGGGCGAAGTCGCGAGCAACATCTTCACAAATATTACCAAGTCTTTCCTGATTCGTATTGCATGTATTGAAATAATTTAAAAAAATACTGGGCCGCTTTTAAAAAATTTCCAACGGTAGAAAAGTAATTTATCTGTGAGATTTTACTGTTAAATTTTACGTGGGTAAAGTCGCGAGCAACAGCTAGTAATAAAGAACACAGTTGTAAACGTATTTTAGGTTAGACAAACAAAATAGTTCAATTGCAAGAAAACGATGCGTAAATAGACTCTGAGAACTCTTCCTTAAGACGTAGGATAGAAGAACGTTTTGTCAACTATTAAAATTATTACATGGACTCCCCATGTACAGTTCCGTCCATAAACACTGGGTAAATGCCCACGTGCATTAATTAATTTTAATTATAATTAAGAATGCTACCTTAAACTAAGTAAAATTAACTAACAAACTGGATGTTATATCTGTAAAAATTGTAATAAAAAACATAAAAATGTTACTTTGTTTGTTTAACTGTTATTCCATTTTTAAAACAATTCGTAGAAGCAAAGTAACATTGCAAAGAAACTGTAATAAAAACTAAAGAACTCGACGTATTTTTTCTCACGTTTCTGTAAAAGCGTGCAGGTAGTAAGATGGGATTACTATTCAAACGCATAACAGGTAAAGATGAGCTTTCAATAAAGCCCTTTATAACATAAAAAAAGCTTTGAGAAGTTAGCTGGTAAGGTTTATTAGATAGTTTCAAGGTTTCTATAATAAAACTTTTTACTTTTACAACGGTAAAACAACAGGAGTAAATGACGGAATGTAAACTATTAATATTTAATTTTTAAGAATAAATGAACAAAAATTTAATTTTGCTGATGTATTAATCGTAAGTAAAATTCACATAAAAAAACATAAACAGATTAGAGAACATAAACGAACTGAAAAGTCATTAAAATGTCAGTTATAAAAAAATAAATTATCCGATTATCATTGTCATGGTTCATGGTTGACTGGAAGCTTTAAAAATCTACAAAGTCTGTTATTATCGTCATAAAACTAATAGGATTTTACTAAATGGCTATAAATTAGTTTTATTACTGGCATGAAAAATAAATAGACAAATTAAAAATAATTTTAAACCAGCTTAAAACTTCAGGTCACAAAAACTTGAACTATTGAGCTACGACTCAACACACAAAATGGCAGCTCACGGCTCAATGTACAATCGTGGAAAGCCGCGGTGTTCCACTTTAGAAAAAAAATGCCTTGTTCAATGCAACGAGACGAACTCCGTCTCTTCCTACAAAAATTAAACATCATTAACTAGTCGTGTATCACTCACCGACTTCATACAAACATTTATAAGCTGAGTTGTATTGATTTTTGTTCCGCGTCTCGTTCAAAAATGTTCAAACAATTATAGCTTTTACGGTGGAACATCACTAGTTTATCCGATTGTACTATACGTGTCGAAGGACCGCGAGCTGTTTGGTGCCGCGCTTTTATTGATCTACTTTTTAGATCAGAACCGTGAGCTGATCTGTAGATCATCAATATTTATGTTACTTGTATGTAACAATTAATTGTACAAATTATTGAGTGAATTAAACATCTACAAAATAAAATAGATACAGATTATAATATATATATATTGTCTACTTTTAACCGGAATGTCCGTTCTCATTTAAAACAAATTAATACACATTTCATAGAATATGCATAAGCACAAATTTACAACTACTTACCAAATCAGAATCAGGTATGAATTCCACAGATGTATTGAGCACATTATTTCTAAGAAGTAAGATAATGTTCTTCCTGTCCACTGTATTAACGGGCGTGGAGTATGCACTTGTGGCGGCCATCTTGTTACCACGTGACTCGCTAACACGCCTGCTCAGGACGAGACGCGT